ATGTGCAACAGCCTTGCTAGCATGGTGAAGCAGCGGCTAGGCAGACATGCAAATGCACCGGAAGTATCCTCAACGGTAACTACCAGAGATGAAAGAACCAGCCGCGGGTATGTAGACCAAACCGCGGTGTCTACATTGCTCAGGATTGAATGCCACAAACAAAGCTCAAAATGCTTGTGTTCCACCATGACCAAGGTGCAACTTGCTCTCGTTTGCTACATTGGGATTGCCATGGTTTCGCATGGTCTCACGTTTAACTACCGTCGCATGTCGGCAGGAATTCTCAGATTGAAGGCTGCGCATATGCCCGCATTAAGTGTAAACATAATGTTCTTGCATTGTGCTCAGGAAATTGGCTGCGAAAGCTGCGCAACTGGCTAGGCTCTTCCAAAGAGCTCAGCTACGCTGCCATACTGACCATGAGAGTTCTTGGCCCCACGGTACTTTGGAGAAATCTGCAACCATCCCAGAGTACAATTATTGTCCATGCCCCCAAAAGGAAGCCAGCTCTCGAAAAAAAAATCCTTAACCCCAAAACTTACATTACAATTGTTACTGTTATTGTTACTGGTATTGTTACTGTTATTGTTACTGTTATTGTTACTGTTATTGTTGTTACTATTAATATTGTTATTATTCTGAGCCTCCCCCAGCTTGCATTCAGCTCCCAGAAGCCCTCCACGCATATGCGCCAAGGGAACCTGGCATGCGCAACATGTGGGGGTTTCCTTAGGGGTACCTTTCTGTGGGTCCCCATAATAAGGACTATATTGGGGTCCCCCTATTTTGGGAAACTACCGACATATGAGCGTTGCGGGGGTGCTGGTCTTGGATTTTGGGTTCAGGGCTTTGAGGTTTTGAGGGGGAAGAGCCGAATACATCACCACAGTATTATCCCTGAAAGAACAATACTTTGCAGAATGGCCGTTGTATGAACTTCCTGCCTTCCTTCAAGTTTTCGTAATTCTAAGCACGAAGGTCCCCATCATCGGGACCCCACACAAGGCCTGCAATTCTGAGAAAGCCTCCCACAAGCACAACAAAACCCCTAAACCCTAAGTAGTAGTTTCCACTTTTTTTCCATTTCCTAAATTATACCCCTCAAATGATGAAGTTTGCCAGGCTTACTGGCATTAATGGACTCGACCAAACGCACCGCCTCTTGTCCGAGTCCAGCCTGGTAGTGTTTAAGGTTTAGGATTCAGGGTTTAGTTTAGGGTTTAGGATTTAGGGTTTGGGATTTAGGGGATATATAAGTACCCATTGGGGTAATATTAGGGTTATATGGGGGTTATGTTGGGATAATGGAAAATAAAATGGAAACTACTATTCAGGGTTAGGCGGTTTAAGATGAGGGGTTTAGTGGGTTATTATTTTTGTTAAGGCCTCGGACGTTTCCGCTGCTGACTGGCACAGAGTCCTTCTTATGCTGGTGCTCAGCTTTCACTTCCAAGCTTCCAAACCTGCTTAGGTTTAGGGTTCAGGGTTTTGAGACTAGGGTTCAGGGTTCAGAGTAGAAGGGGTTTGGGGATTTGGCTCAGCGTTGAGGACGTTTTGCTTGAGAGCTACATGTTTTCAAGCTGGTTCGCACTGAACAACTTGAGAATCCCGGACAAGCAAACAGCTGCACGTCGAAAACACCCAACTCAACTAACAACAAATGCCTCGCAATATGCAATGTGCTATATTATTCCGGGGCGGGTTCGTAGGTGTATTATCACGGGGCGGGTTCGTAGGTGGGGGATGGCAACATGACTCGCTGGCGCACACCAGGGAAAGAGACACTGCAAGCCCTCTTCAACATATGCCTATCTAGACTTTCTTTTTCCTCGCTGCGCGCTCGAGTTGTCCAAGCGTAGCAGCCCTGGCTGAGATCCGAGCGGTTGCTGCAAGCAGGAAGGCAAAATCCGCTTCTGCAGATCTAAAGTCGCCTGCCATCGAGCCGCTGCAGTGGATTTAGGTGGTTTGACTAAGTGCTACTAGGCGCCTCTTCAAACGCTTGGAGGGTCTTGGGGACTGAGTTAATGAAATGCCTATAACGCCCTTGATACCATGATCAACCTACTTACTAAGTTGCCCTGACCCTCCAAGCAAGGCAAAAATCTGCTCCTACCCAGTCGGTTGTTGAGGCGCCCCAGCCTCCCCCACATCTGCTGGACGTCCCATGAACTGGAATGGCCCCAACCTGAATGTCACGATGCTGGGCTGCTATGCATACAGGTTTGTCTGAGAATGGTGCTGGGTGTCACTTAGGACACGAAGCCGAAGCTTCAATCCAGGCCCTGCCAGGTCCTCGCAGGGATGGTGAGCCAAATGTTGCTTCAGCTGCCTGTTCGGGGGTCCTCCACTTTAACGGTAAACGTCAGCATCTCGTCAAATCGCCAAGGTGACTCTTTGTCGAGCACCTGGTCTGTTTTAGACAAGGCCCAGGCACAAGGCACAGCAGCTGTCCACCTCCTTTGAAGAGGACGAGGGATTGGGACTGAAATCTGCCGGCTCTGTGTCCTGGCGCTGGTAGCCGCACAACAGCAAACAACGAGGCAGCAAGGGCAGGCGCAGCTGCGCAAAGCCACTGTCAACTTAATGGGAATGAAGGAAAGGGTTTTAGGCTTGCTCTTGGGGTTTTTACACGAAGGTTCATTGCTGTATGGATTCACTTTCCCCACGCTGATTTCAATGTATCAATAATGAATGTGTCCGTCTTATTTTCCATCTCCCTATAGTAAACAACGGTAACTTACTGGGTGGGGAGTGGATCCCTGCAAGTATCACCGTAAAGGCTCCGTGATCTTTTCCGTTCCCGAATACTAAATCCTAACTTCCTAGATGGTATGGCATTCTCCATTCTCCTTGTCCATTCCGAAAACCTCAATAAAAAATTACTAGTTTCCAGTATCTCTTCCAATCCTAGAATACTAGTTTCCATTTTCCTTTCCAGTCATGAACACTAAAGCCCTGAAAAGCATGGTTTTCATCATGTTATTCCATTCCTAAACCGGAAATGACAGACTAATTTCCCTTCTCTTTCCAATCCTAAATCACTCTCAACAGATGGTAGCTTCCATCCTCCTTCTGCATCCTGAGCCGCAAATGAGTAGCCGTTTTCTCGGCTGAACCAAGTGGGATTATAATCTACATGTAAAATAAAAAATATACACCAAAGGAGGACATAATCTTACTCGATGGTGGGTGCCATAGTACCCCCGCGTGGAATACTACTCGAATCACCCTCAAGCACCACGAACCCCGTCGAATCCTTCTGCACAGAGCCCAGGTTCACTTCCAGAAACGGACCTCGCACAGCACAACGTCCCATGTCTTGGGTGGCGCATTAATAAAACAGATTCCAATTAACTAGTAGGGGCTCCTCCGCTTTGAGGATTTCCATATGAAGAATTCCCGGCTTTTGGCCAGTATTTTGGGGTGTCTACACGGATGACCTCCGATCTTGAAAAACACTGACATATTTGAGAACACCCAAAAGGTGCAATCTGGAACTTGTAGTCCCCCTTCAGTAGATAGAATATGGCTTTGGGTAAATAACAATAAGATCCCTATATTATATATCCCATATTCCCATATTCTATCTACTTAAGGGAACTTAGGTGTAGCTCAGCTCCTCGAGGCCCGGACGAGACCGGGAGAACACGCCAGGCTCCGGCAAGCCAGGGAGAGAAGCGGAGAGGACCTGCCAAGGTTCCTAGAGACACGTGGGTGGTTGTCAAAATTATGGTCCCTTTTTGGATACCCTAAATATTAGGTGCCGTATTAAAATAGGGATCCAAAAAGGGACCATAATTTTGACAACCACCCACGTATAGTTAGGAGGACTTCGCACCCTGTAATGGTGGTATAATACGAATATAATAGGACCCTATGTAATGTAATCACTATTGTCCCTTATATCCACTATTACAGGGTGGGGGATCCACCTAAGGTATAAATTCGATAATTCCACCTTGCAGTACCAGTTACCACAAGAAGTAACAGGATTTAGAATTTTCGAATGGCACTGTAATAAAACCCCCTTGGGGACACTTACATTGATTAGCGAAAAATGAATGACCCAAGTCGTAAGGATGATAGGAAACATTGCAGGCATCATTTGGGTGGTTCCCGAAACTAGGGCCCCATTTTGGCATCCGTAAATACTAGGTGCCGTAATATAATGTAGCCAATACGGGCTCATATTTTTGAGACTGACCCATTTGAGCAATGATGACCCGAATAACTACGCCTGAATGCACTCGAGTAGCCTGCGGCTGCACCACTGATAGCTGATGCCCGTCAAAGAGTTCAGCGCGCTTGACCGCCCATCTACGCCAAAAAAGGGCCCGTATTCTGCATCCCTAGATTGACCCTACATTGGACCTACATGTTCCTATGTACGACGCCTGAAGGGCCCCCTGTCCCCCGGCGCACCCTCACGAAAAGCTTGCATGCTATCTGGCCAGGGTTGTGCCGCAGCTGCGGCACATGCACCTCGCCGACATTGCAGCACTGCATCTGCTGTCGGAAGCTGCAAGTTTCCAGAAGTTGGAGTCCCTCTTTGGGGGTCAGGAAAAATATTGTATTATGCTACATTTGGGAGTGTGCATCAGGACCGTGATGCTTGTAATCTGCCAGCCTAGCATCAGCTGCCAACAAAGGAAGCAAACAATGGTTTTCAGCTCTCGCCATCGCCCGGCGTCTTCGTACGGCTTCCAGGCTTCAAGTCCACCGCGCCCTGGCGATGTTCTGAATGAACATTCCAAAACAGGCAATTTGCCATGATCATACCCTTAGCAAAGGTTATACTTACTTTACAATAGTAAGAGTAAGAATACTGAGAGTAAGAATAACGGTGAAGAGTTCGCCCAGAGAATACCCAAACTGCAGCACCTCTAGACTCTAGACATCATGTTGGCTTCATATGACGCGACGCCTACAAGATGCTAAGCTCAAGCTCTCCCAAAAGTATCCAAGCAGTGTAATCACCAATCACCCTCACCCAGACCCTCCTTCTCTGACTCTGCGGCGCTGCTAGCTGGAGGCGTTGGCACATCCAACCTTACAGCGCATCAATCAGACGCAGCTCTGAGATGTAGGATCATTCATGGGAATGAAGGAACCCTATGCTCAGGGTGCTAAATACATCTGCTTTGAATCTGTACCTTTTGCTAGTTGAGGGGATCTCTATCCCATAGTTGGGATGACATTCAGGGTCCCAGCGGCTGATAAACCAACTCATGGAAGACCTCAACGTGCTTCATGAAGCGGTAGCCCATGCGCTCAAACAGAGCAACGGAAGGCGCGTTGTGGTCCTGCAAGTGGCTTCTGGGCTCCATTGGGCAAGGATTAATGGAGACTCAAATGGAAAAGAAAATGGAAGCTTGGGGACATGTAGGGAGTTACGTACTGCAAGCCGTCTCGCTGTTACATCCACAGCTGGATGGTGGCATGGATTGTAATCTGGCCTATCAAGGCTGGCCAGCCTGCAGGTGTAATCGTGACAGCCCGATTTGGGTCTTGGGTTTTGGGTCTGGGGTTTAGGGTTTGGGGATTCTTGAGTGTGCCTACTATTGCTTGGGTTTTGGTCAGTACTCTTCATCCTGTGAAACCACATGAGCCCTGGACTAAATTTGTAGTATATCCTTTAATAGGTCCCCCCCCCACCCGCAACCCTAAGTAGTCCCCTATAGGTCCCCCCCAACTTAAATTTAGTCCGTAGCTCACATCACCATGGTTGCGTCCTTGATCTTTGCGACGAAATACTTGGTGCCGAGATGCTCAACGCAATAGCCCTGTCCGAGTGATAAGCGCAAGCCATCCTAAAGAGTTCGACCCCAACAACAGTAACAATAGTAATCATGGTATGAGCAGTAATAATAGTAATACTAACAATAATAGTGAAGATAATAATAAGAGCAATAAAATACTACTAACATTGAGAATGGCAGGGTTCAGGCGGCTCTTTGTTAAGGGTTGCTGCAATGCCTGCTTCTGTTACAGCTGGCAATGAACTCCAGTGTTGGGGCCCTTCGCCATTTAACATCTCTTTGTACCCTGCGTCGACCCTGACATGGAATCCTCAATTTCAAGCAACCCCCACGTGCAAGGATCACACCCTACAGCCCAGCTGCGGTTTAACAGAGTGATCGAGAATCAAGTGGACAAGAATCTAAGAATATGGAAAATGAAGCTGAAGCTGGGGATGGCAGCGTGAAGTAGGTCATACCGGGATGTTCATATGACCATTGTGGGTCCGAATTTTGGGGCGTGAGGTTTCAAAATATCCTAAATCGTAAACCCTAAGCCCACCCCCCAAGCCTCATCCCTACACGTCAAAACCACCACCCTGACCTTTAAACCCCAAACCTAACCTCATGAAAACCAATATAAAAGGCTCCAACTCGCTCCATTCCTCGTTTTAGCGACACCTGATTATTAGAAATATAGTAGGGTTTTATTGGGATAGTGGAAAAGAAAATGGAAACTACTATAGTATTATAGGTTTATATAAGAGGTTTGGGGTAGAGTAGTTTCCATGTGATTTTCCATTATCCCAGTATAACCCAAATATAACCCCTATTATCATATAGTGGTTTCCATAACCCTAAGGCCTACATATCTGCATAGGTCTCCATATATCCTTGTACATCCCTCCATATCCTTCAGCGCAAGTCTGCCACATCAAAACCAAGCTCTACACTCAGAAACCGTTAAACCTTTCTACCCCAAACCTCTATCCTTCTTCATCCATAAACCCTAAACAGTAGTCTCCATTTTATT